CTTTTATATATTAAGATACCCTATTATAAGCACCTTCCATAGATACGTTTGCGTACCAAATTTCAATTTCATTTGACTTATGGTTTTGAAATTATAGCTGATAAAATTTTCCACGCCTACGGGATGTACCACGCCCCCTTTTACAAACCCATTTATATATAAGCACCTACCATTGATATATCTGCATACTAAATTTCAAGTTCGTGGGACTTATAGTTCAGAAGTTATAGCTGATAAAAAATTCCATGCCTATTGGATGTGCCATGCACTCTTTTCCAAACTCATTTATATATACCCTAATATAAGTACCTACCATTAAAATGGCTGCGTACGAAATTTCAAAGTTCAAGCGACTTATAGCTCCGGAGTTATAGCTGATAAAACATTCCAGGTTATGGAACGTGCCGCTCCCCCTTTTACAAACCCACTTATATATAGCCTACTATAAGCACCTACTATAGATACGTCTGCGTACCAAATTTCAATTTCACGTGACATATGATTACGAATTTTCCACGCCTATGGGATGTNAAACCCACTTATATATAGCCTACTATAAGCACCTACTATAGATACGTCTGCGTACCAAATTTCAATTTCACGTGACATATGATTACGAATTTTCCACGCCTATAGATGTTCCACTCAGTTATATATGCCTTACTTAAAGCGCCTACCGAAGATTGCCTGCACACCAAATTTCAAGTTCTTGGGACTTATGGTTCCCGAGTTATAGTTGATAAAAGGGTCCACGCCTATGGGCTGTGCCACGCCCCTTTTTACAAACTCATGTATATATAGCCTACTGTAAGCACCTACCGCAGATATGTCTGCATACCTAATTTCAATTTCATGTATTATAGTTGATAAAAATTTCCACGCCTATGGGATGTGCCACGCCCCCTTTTACAAACCTCGTTATATATACTTTACTGCAAGCACCTACTATAGTTATGTCTGCATACCAAATTTCAAGTTCATGTGGCTAATAGTTCCGGAGTTATAGCTGATAAAATATTCCTATGGGATGTGCCACGCCCACTTTTACAACCTCATTCATATATACCCTACTATAAGCACCTACCATATGTATGACTGAATAACAACTTTCAAGTTCATATGACTTATAGTTTCGGATTTATAGCTGATAAAATATTCCACGCCTATTGGATGTGCCACGCCCACTTCTACAAACTCATTTATTTATACCATACTATAAGCACCTACCATATATATGACTGTATATCAAATTTCAAGTTCATGTGACTTATGGTTCCGAAGTTATTGATTGATAACAAATTTCACGCCTATGGGATGTGCCACGCCCACTTTTACAAAGTCATTTATATATATACTCTACTGTAAGCACCTACCATATACCAAATTTCAAGTTCATGTGACTTATAGTTTCGAAGTTATGGCTGATTAAAAATTTCACGCCTATGGGAGGTGCCACGCCCCCTTGTCGAATCCCAATTTTATTCCCTATTATAGCCCCAGGTGTCATGGCAATACTCTGTCAAAATTTTTTTCGATTCTGTCCGTCCGTTTAGGCTGCAAACTAGCACATATATATAGTAGATATATTAATACGCAAACATGATTTTTGTCGTACACTTTTGAAGTACTTANATTCCCTATTATAGCCCCAGGTGTCATGGCAATACTCTGTCAAAATTTTTTTCGATTCTGTCCGTCCGTTTAGGCTGCAAACTAGCACATACATACATACATACTTCCACAAATATATAGTAGATATATTAATACGCAAACATGATTTTTGTCGTACACTTTTGAAGTACTTAATCCCCATTAATTTTCATGAAACTCATATCAAAAGAAAGAGGAGGTGGTGTAGATGGGCCGAATTTAGTTTTTATCCCTCTAAGAGCCACTTTGACCGAAATATTCAAAAACACCTATTTACAGTCCTGATTGGTACAAGTTCAGCCCNCCCCATTAATTTTCATGAAACTCATATCAAAAGAAAGAGGAGGTGGTGTAGATGGGCCGAATTTAGTTTTTATCCCTCTAAGAGCCACTTTGACCGAAATATTCAAAAACACCTATTTACAGTCCTGATTGGTACAAGTTCAGCCCGAATATCAGTTAGAGAAGCAACATGACATATTCTTATATATTAATACGCAAACATGATTTTTGTGGTGCACATTTGAGGTACTTAATCCCCATTGATTTTCATGAAACTCATATCAAAAGAANGGAAACTCATATCAAAAGAAAGAGGAGTTGGCGTAGATGTGCCGAATTTTACAGACTATTTACAGTTCTGATTGGTACAAGTTCAGCCCGAATATCAGTTAGAGAAGCAACATGACATCTTCTTATATATTAATACGCAAACATGATTTTTGTGGTGCACATTTGAGGTACTTAATCCCCATTGATTTTCATGAAACTCATATCAAAAGAAAGAGGAATTGGCGTAGATGTGCCGAATTTAGTTTTTAACCCTCTAAGAGCCACCTTGAGCCAAATATTAAAAAAACACACTATTTACAGTCCTGATTGGTACAAGTTCGGCCCGAATATCAGTTAGAGAAGCAACATGTCACCTTATATATTAATACGCAAACATAATTTTATTGGTACACTTTTGAGGTACTTAATCCCCATTGATTTTCATGAAACTCATATCAAATGAAAGATGAGTCGGTGTTTTTAACCCTCTTAAAGCCGACTCGGAATTGAAATGGTGTTCCACAATCCGATCGGAACTTTTGTTTCGAAGTTAATATCGAATCCGATCGTATAAAAAAGGAACAAACCTCAAATCTGTTAACTTTGTTTTGAAGTGTGTCAACTTCATTTGGATAAATAAAACCGAGAAAATAAACATGAGTTCAATTATTTTATTGGCGATTTTGCTGAATAATGAGCAGCAAACATCTGAAAAAGTGAAGCGAAAAATTTTGCGCAATCACAGCAATCCCATGGAATACCGGACTCAGTGTTAGTAGTATAAAAGGTTTTTTTATACTAACGCCATTTCAAACTATTAATTTATATTTTACAGCTTTATTGCACTCTTTAGACTAAATAAACAAGCGTTCCTCATGATTTTGAGAGACTTGCAGCCTTTTGTACAAAGAAGCTCCATTCACGCAGTGTTGACGTTGGGAGCAACGCTGCGATTCCTCACCGAAGGTGGGTATCAAAGGTCTGCAGGAGTGGACTTAAGCATCGCTTTGGGAAGGAGCACCGTCTCCAAGATAATTTCATAAATAATTGCGCTCATGGAGCGGAGACTTTGCTCAAAGTAAATAAAATTGTTTATCTCTGAGCAAGAGAAAAGAGCCGACAAAATTTCTTTCTACGAACAATTTGGTATACCGGGTGTGATTGGATGTATTGACGGCACGAACGTCAAGCTATTGCAACCACAAGATGGGTCTGCTTTTTTAAACCGAAAAGGAAATTTGAGCATTAATGCAATGATTGTAAGTTGCCACAATTACTCGATTTTATATGGAACAAGTTTTCGTAAAATTTGTTTCTTATTTATTTCAGATTTGCGATCATAATATGGTTATTAGAGCTATTGATGCTTGTCATCCCGGTTCTAGTCATGACTCCTTTATATGGAGCATGAGCAGTACAAGACACTTTTTCATGACGAAGTATCGAGATGGTGATCACAATTCGTTGTTATTGGGCGATACCGGGTATGCTCTGGAACCTTTTCTATTAACACCATATAGAAATCCAGAACCACGGTCTATACAACACGCGTTTAACAAAACACATTCTTCGGCACGTAATATAGTTGAACGAAAAATTGGGGTTCTTAAAACCTCGTTTTCGGTGTTTATTAGGATGTACTTTATAAATGGGCCACCTCCGGTAGCCACAGCCTCTCTTCTGTTGTGTGCCAATTTCTTCCTCACTTCACTTTTCCAGTCAGTCCAGGTCTAGTTGCAAAAAATCTAATATTGTTGTCCTTATAATCACAATAATATTTTACCTTCTTCCACTCGTTTGTGTTTTTATTGGTGGTCCTTGGCTATTCAATGACTCCGTTAGTTGGCGCCACTTTTCCTCAAGAGCCACTTTATCTCCTTTGAAGAAGCCCTTGGCTATGTCTGGATTTATTTCCATGAAGTCCAGCATATTTTTGCTTTGCTCCGCCGTCTTGTGCTTTCCCCTGCATTTTAATAATTACCACTTTTATTTTCTTTTTTTACATTTTTTGCTGTTCGCTGACTTCAAAATTTTTCCTTTGACCGTTAACAGTTATATTTTTGTTTTTCGTTTTGATTCTTTTCTATTCCCCTGGCTTTTAGCTGATCGGAACATTTCCGATAAAATATTTCCGATAATCGGAATGCAGAACATCAAATTTCCGATAGAATTCCGATTCCAAGTGGATCAAAATGTAGAACAAGGCCGAATCGGAAATAATTTCCGATTGTCGGAATGCAGAACATCAACAATCCGAAACAGAACAGGGCTGATTGTGTTTAGTGTTGGACAATTTTTGCTCTTAAAATTAAAAAAATTATGTCGAGCAAAAATAAAACTACTCAAAACCGCGAATAAGTGTTAGATTTCAGACCTTGAGTGGTAGATGCTCAAAAAAGTGACAGATCTACCACAATGTGGTAGAAGTCCGATCACTGTTGGTGAGTAACAAGGCCAGCATGCTCGTAAATTTAAATCTATTAATTACATTCTAGCGTGTCTCAGTTATAGCTCAGAACAATTTTTTCACCGCAAATAGTCAAATTTAGGGATGAAAATATCGAAAAGTTAAAAATCTCAAAATATTTATAATTTTATAATGGTTCCTTAATATCTTTTAAATACATTGCCTTTGAATATAGTAAAGCAACTATCTGGAGGTATTTTAAAGAAAAAAATTATTAAGTATAGCCTTGTTTGTACATGCAGGTAAAGAAAATACATGAAAAAGTCCGATTTTTTTTTTTATTAAAATCTCAATCTCACTGCCCAACTCGTTTCCTTTCTTTAATTTCTAATTATTTAATTTGTAATTTATTCCTAATATATTGTATACATAGCTATACAGATTTGTATTTGCAAGACCATTTATTTTAATATGTATTTAGTAGTGCTTCATCTCTGACTCATTATTACTGCCGCAACTATTTCATAAAAACGGATTGTTGGAGTTCAATGTGCTGGTTGCCTATGAACAAAAGGAATGCATTAATTAATTAATTTGAGCAAATTAAAAAGGAATTATTTACTCACAGTAAATGGATTTTCGAATTTTCTCCCGCCGCCGCGGCAGTGGCTGTTATCGCCGTTGGTTGTGGTGCACCCAACCTGAATCCACAGCCGCTCGGACCAGACGCCACTACGGTGAGATGAAACATGTCAGCCGCAGTACACGTTGTCGCTATTGCATTATTATTACTAATACTGTGACAGTGTGTGTTTGTTGTTGGTTGCTGTGAAGTTATGTCATTGCCCTTCGATATCACTGCCATTTGACTAAAATAGTTTTGTGCTTTTGTTGGAGAAGTACCGTGGAACGGATTTGCCTGCTCATTCTTGAAGGAGTTAGCTACACTATGTATGCCATCTAAAAATAGCGTGAAATAAATATGTGCAATTAATTTTTGATGCCTTAATTTTAGATCAATGTGTTTTCAATAAATACATTCGGCGTAAAATTATTAAAATTATTGAGTTTCGCTATTCGTCCGCTGTACCCCAACGGTTAGAGATGCGCACTCCCACTCCGAAAGACCAAGGTTCGATCTCTGGTCAAAGTATCATCCCAAAAAAATTATAGAAAAAGGTTTTTTATTAACAGCGGTGTATATTTCTACGGGGAATGCTATAAGGCAAACGACAATAAGCCAAATTTGTGTTATTTCTCAACTGAAAGTGATTTAGCATGTCTTATTGAGCAATAGATCAACTTTCAAATTTTACAATTGAATGATAAAGTAAAAAAGTGCCATTACATTAAAAAAAATTTTGGTCGGGTGACATAAGGCCTATGTCCATATTGGAAATTGACATTATGACCACATCAATCGGCCGTATGTCCGTTTGAATTGGTAACAATAGGACTGTTCCACACGATGCCCAAAACAGCCCAGAAGGTGTTCCTCACGATAGAAAAATGGGTAATAGAGAGCGAATACGTTCCACTTTTGGATCGTAAAAGTCTTCTTCTTCGTTCCTTAAACAGCCGGACTTTTTTCCGGGCACAAATGTGCAAAAATTCAAATTGCTACGACCGCTTTTGTTTGTTTACATCTGAAAGCAAATTTTATAAAACACAAAAATGGAAAATACTACTAAAGTTTCAGAAAATGTCGGTATTTGCTAATTAAACATAAAATCATTGTTTTTCTTTCATATTCGTTTCATGTATTTTCCATATTTTGCAAACGAAATAAAGGATGTAAAATGAAAAACTAGTGATAAAGCTAAATTGAAATTTCAATTGAATAAACTTTAACTGTTTTCCGCACTTGCCAAATCGCAAAAATAAAAACAAATCAAATAGCTGATTTGTTGATTCCGGTCACGAAATGTGTTTTTTGCGTTCCTCAAAGCCCTGGGCACTTTTGGCACGTTTTGACACTTAACTTATTATTTACTCTCTAATTAGCTAATGTCAACTGATTTTATGACCGTTTTGAGTTTGCCTTTATGGCCATCTACGCCATTTTGGATTGACCATTTTGAAAAAATAACAATAAAATTAGTTCATCAACAAGTTAAACGGACGGATATGTTTGAAAAAAAAAATATGTGTACATACCATATGTATATGTATGTTAGTACATAATTTTGAAAGTGCCCAGCATAGCGGCGGTCCGGCCCGTGGTCGGACCAAAATTGGTAGTTTAATTTTCCTTTGGTAGTTTGGTTCGTTTGATGAAGCTTTTGAAAATACAATCACATTTAGCATTCAAATTGGCCCTTTTAACTTGTTAAATGAACAAGTAATTTTTAAGCAAAAAATAAAACCGACTTCAATCTATATATATAAAATAATAGCCGTTTTCGTTGTTCGGAGTTAACTCAAAAACTACTGCATAGATTTCAGTAAATTTTTCAGAGGTTATACCTTGCATATATGGTCCTATTATAGGCTACCATAAAACGCGCGGGCGCGGGAGTCGAGTTATTTATAAAAGTCGTATTTATGGACCTATTTTGTTAATACACATTCGAAACGTTTATTACTTACATGATGATTTTTTTCATTCGAAAAATATTCAGCCTTATCATGAGTTTCATCTTCCCTGAACCGGTTCACTTTTCGCTTTTGGTTTCCATGTACTTACTATGGGGGGAATCAAAATTTTCGCGTGATTTTTTTTTCCGGCGAAACTCAGGATAAGGAACATAAAATGATAGCCCTTTCCGTTTTTCGGACTAAACTCAAAAACCACTCAATAGAGCCCAGTCAAATTGTCTAAGGTTATACCTTGCATATGTATATGGTCCTACTAGAAAACAGGCTGGTGGCGCTGGAGTAGAGTTACTTATAAAAGTCGTATTTATTAATGTATGATGAAAAATTCCTTTGCTAAAAATTGACCGCTGGAGTTTAGGTATTTAGAAAATCCGTATTTTTTATAAAATCTGATTGGAATTCATAATTCGGGATAAAGGGACCCAATAGATGACGCTGCACCCGAAATATGTAGAAACCCCCGCTTTGGCCCTATGTTTATCTTAGACGAATTTACTTTTCAGATGGCTTAATCAAGGATGCATTTAAGTATGCATATAAGGACCGTAAGACTGTGTAAGCGTGATCTTGCATCTACCTCCGATTGACAAAGTTGCTCGAGGCGGCCCTTATTTCGGTAGTAAGACTCAAAGAAACCAATTCATAAATATTAAGACGAATTGTAAAAGTGGAGAATTGACAAGAAAAGATTCGACCACATCTGCCCAAGAAGGAACACGATAGGTATATCAATGGCTTCATTTGAACGATATTCATGAGATCACACGACTCATTTAGCCAATGTACGCGGAAACTTTTCATCCTGTGTGGCAGCGAGGATTCTTGGCCCTCCTATAATTGAAAACGCTCATCTGTGCTCTTACGTGTCCGTATAAGGACTTTTATTGGCTTACATTGTACACCTGACCAATGCTGAAGTTGCAGGATCATAGAAGAATATTACGCACGCTTGGCAAAGATCTCACAGGTGGAAATAAGACCATAGGTAAAACGCATTACATCGAAAGGGATTAGTATTCCATATGGTATCACAGCGCTTCTATTCTTGGCATAAGTGTGAGGAGGATTCCGTTTTAGAGCCGCTTCAATTTAAACTAAAAATGTTTACTTTACAGACTGTTTTTGCTTTTAAACGCTATTTTTGAATTGGCCAACGCAAAATATCTTATTAGGCGCCGCGAAGCAAGCGGGCATTTGCTAGTCTATATATAAATAGGCAAGCATGAATTAATTGGGAACNATTCCGTTTTAGAGCCGCTTCAATTTAAACTAAAAATGTTTACTTTACAGACTGTTTTTGCTTTTAAACGCTATTTTTGAATTGGCCAACGAAAAGATCTTATTAGGCGCCGCGAAGCAAGCGGACATTTGCTAGTTCTCATATAAAAATTTAAGATTATCGTTAATTTCTTCATGATCTGATGATCGGATTTAAACCAAACTAATATAATATTGACCACCTGTGAGGTAACATCTTTCATTTAAAAAATAATTATAGAAATCGGTTAACGTGGTCCAAAGTTATGCGGTAACATACATAAAAAGAAAAAAATATTCCGACGAATTTATAACCTTTCTCCTTTTTGTGAATTCGGTTAAAAAGAGCTTTTTGTAAAACACAATCGTCCACATTGAACATTTGGAGTTAACTTTGACCATATATGTACATGTGTAATACTTCTATATTCATAGTAACGTATCTTCACAATGTACTTTCATTCCACAATCAAAGGGAGACAGCCAATGTTGAGTTATGGCAAATTCAGGTCCATGCAATATGTTCTCATATATCTATACATATATAAATAGACAAGCATGAATGAATTGGAAACAATTTTCTCCTCTGTTTCTTAACCGACTCGATCGATTGTTGCTTTGTTGGAAAGGTGTTTCGGAGGAGGGGTGCACAAACTTTTAACTTTTCCGATAGGTGGCGCAGCACAGTGGTTCAGATAGCAGATCTAACTGGACGAAAGTCAAAATTTTTTTGTTTTCAAAATACTTAATGGTACTTGGAATACATTCCTGACAATAAATTCAAATAGAAATTGCATTTATTGAAGCATTAACATATGAAAACAAAAAAAAAGGTAAGTCAACGCCGCCTATTTGAGAACTCTATTTTAAAAGCTAAAGTTTAACTTAAAATATTGCTAATTGCACTCACAAATATTTGCATAATGGAGTTTGCAAGGGGTGCATGTGTTAAAACAGAAAAATACTTGGAGTTATAAAAACTTTGGTTAGGTAAATAAAAAATAATAATAATAATAATGAAGCACAATTAACAAACATTGACGTTGAAGACGAAAGTCAAGAATAATACATATTCTAGTGCTTATCATAACTATACGACACCCACATAATGACCAGTTTTGACAACTTGTTTTATTACTATTTAATCTTAATTATTTTTTCGTAAAAATGTACTATGCACTTTAACGAAACACATATCAACCCAAGTTTCAAACTTTGTGCAATATTTGAAAAAAAACCAACAAACTTTCGCAAAAATTTCGATGTTCTTAATTAGGTTTCTTATAACGATATTGGGTATGCAGTTTTGTAGCCCATTAAATTTTAGTGAAATAAAGTGCAAGTTTGAAGTACCTAGGGCTTTTCGTGTTTTTTGGCATTTTTTTGGTTGACGATGTCAGTCATTTTCTGCCATACGAAGTATGTTCGATGATTTTTTTATATGGAGAATATGAGCAACAAAAAAAAATTCCATTTTTTCGAACGTTTATTGAGTTTTTTTCAAATATTGCACATTTTTGACAAAGTACAAACGACATTTTTATGGAAAAAGTAATTAAGAGTAAATAATAATAAAATACGGACTGTTTATATTAAAGAATTAGCTGTTCTATAAAATTATTTTAAAATGTATTTGTTATTGGGAACTGAAAATAAAAATAAAAATATAAAGCGAAATATTTTTAACAAATTTGTAATCGTTTTAAGTACAAACAGAAAATTTTCATATGTTAAGATTTTTTAAATATTTCGCTTGCCATGTTGGCGTTTTGAGTGTTTGGTAAATGATTTTAGATTCGTAATCAGCAACACAGAAAACCCGCAGATACCCAGTTACATAGAAATCTACCGAGTTTTTTTAATCTTCGTCCGCCATATTGGATCCGCCTTTTTGTTTTTTGGTAAATGACTTTAGATATGTAATCAGCGACCCAGAAAACCCCCAGATACCCAGTTTAATAGAAATCTACCGATTTTTTTTTAATTTTCGTCCGCCATATTGGATCCGCCATTTTGAATTTCTGATAAGTGACTTCAGATTCGTAATCAGTGACCCAAAAATCCCCTAGGTAAGAAGTGGTGTAAAGATCCATCAACGAGTATTT